TTACGCAGGTCGCACACACGCTTCATTGAACCACAGCGCGTGCGTTACAGATGTCTTTGGGATATTACGTCGAATCGGGGAGAATCGGGCTGCCCCCTCCCCCCTGCACCCCTGCGACCCAAGTCCTGACGCGTCCTTTCCTCCAGCCCATTTCCCACCCCGTCCTTGTTGGTGTACGCTGGCGCCCATCGCTGCGTTGCAGAATGTCTGCCCCGGGTATCACACCATCCTTTCTCTCAACATGCTTTCGATTTCGGGGAGGCGCTTGCAGACTAGGAGGGCAGCAGGAACGGGAGGAGGATGAGGGAATTATGCGCATTGGAAGGGGTGTCGCTGCTGGCTTGGCCAGTGATTTTTAGCGACGGAAAGCCCACTGTTGGACAGAGGGGTGTGCATAGCTCAGGTCTTCACCGCTTCGCGGCATTGCCGGTGTTAGAGGCACGCCTGTCACGTCACAATGGAGACGGAGTCTTGAATGTTGCCAGGTGGCGCAGTTGGCATTGCCCGTCCGTGTGCGCGGTACTCAGCCTCTGGAGCCTCTTGGGATCCGCATTCTCATTGCCAGGCGAATAGTTCGCGCAGTATCTACAAGACCCCAAGTGTGACCCTCTATGATTACACATACCACAAACTAAGAGGCGATGGTTGGTAATTGCTCTGACTTGCGTATCTGGCTCCGCCTCGCCTACTCATTCATCTTAACCCTCACATCTCGTCATTTTCTGCGAAGTGTTGGCACATGTGCGGCGATATCAGTGCAAGTACAGTAGAGCGTAGTGCCGTGTGCGGTATGCGCGTTCGCTGTCAGCCATGTCTACGATGATGCAGCATACCGGGAATCCACTTGGTACCCACCACAAACGCGTCGATGTTAATGGAATGTCCAACGAGTATCACCCATCGCCCAGCTTGTCACGATCTTCCGTCACACCAACCTCATGTGTAGTTACCACCCTGGTCCAGTACACGAACATATGCTTCATGCTGTGCAGTCCGCAGTGGCCCATCCTAGGCAAACGTATGCACCTACAGCAGAACCCATTATTCCAAACGCGCCAGCTCACAGCGCAATCCAGCACAACCAGAGCTGATATTACCGCTTCGTGTCAAACTGTATGTTGTCGTCTGCTCACTGGTCATACCCACTGCTCAGCACCACCAAGTGCTCCACTCATTCAGAATTCTCTGCACCACAGGTCTGAGCAACCGACCTAGACAAGGAGGATGCATAGTCATAGCCATCCTTAGGGATGAAGGTAGCAGGCGCTCCTCGGTTTGTGTCTTGAGCTGCTTACGCCAAGGCTGCCTCTCGGGTGGGGCTCTGCGGTTCCTTCGCTGCCACATTTGATGATCATTATTTCCCAGTCTCCGTCTCTCGCTCTTCACTCCTCTTGATCTGCTTTCCCCTCCGCACCGCGCGCGATAGCGGTGGGGGGACCTGGAAGGAGGGAGCAGTACGAGGAGGAGGGGCGGGGAGAATGATGAAGCCAGGAGAGGGGGAGCGGATGGGGAGCAGGGGAGGGGGTATCGAGGTGGGGAGGGGAGGAGGAAGGATGAGGGGCCTGGGGGAGCAGCGAGCTGGGCTGCAGGAGCGGCGCACCGCGGGCGGAAGAGAGGCGAGGAGAGGAGGGGAGGGGAGGAGGAGAGGAGGAGGGGAGGGAGGGGGAGGAGGAGAGGAGGGGAGGCGAGGAGGGAGGGAGAAGGAGAGGAGGAGGGGAGGGAGGGTAGGAGGAGAGGAGGAGGAGGGGAGGGGAGGGTGAGGAGGGGAGGGGAGAGAGGAGGAGGGGAGGGGAGGGGAGGCGAGGAGAGGAGGGGAGGGGAGGAGGAGAGGAGTATTCTGGATTTGGGACTCGGCCTGGCCGGCCCGAAGCGGTCCAGCGCTCACACGCAAGGGGGGAGACAACAGCGGCACAGCGAGCAAGGCGAGTGGCGGAGGACGTCGGCGGCGGCGAACAGGCCAAGGAGAGGAGCGAGGGAGGGGAGGTCATTACGAGAGGAGGCGGGGAGGAGGGGCGGCGAGCCGGTAGGAGGAGGAGGAGGACGCAGAGCGGCGGTGAGAGAACGGAGGAAAAGGGGCAAGGAGTGGGGCGGCGAGAGGCGGGGGGCGGCGGACACCTGGTGGAACTCGCGACACGTGCGCCCTGCCCCTCCCCCACAGGGCCCACGCCGACTGCACACCCGACCTCGGGCCCGCGCCGATGCTGCCCGACCCCGACCGACGCACGGCCTGGTCCAATTCGCTCTTCGCCCCGCCTCGCCCCTGGGTCCTCGGGCCTCGGCTCCTCGCGCGGCAGGGGCAGGAGGGAGGAGGAGCTGGAGGGGGAGGGAGGGGGGAAGGATGAGGAGGGCGAGGAGGAGGCGGAGGAGGAGGAGGAGGAGGAGGAGGAGGAGGAGGAGGAAGGAGGAGGAGGAGGAGGAGGAGGAGGAGGAGGAGGAGGAGGAGGAGGAGGAAGGAGGAGGAGGAGGAGGAGGAGGAGGAGGAGGAGGAGGAGGAGGAGGAGCAGGATGAGGAGGAGGAGGAGGAGGAGGAGGAGGAGGAGAGGATGAGGAGGAGGAGGAGGAGGAGGAGGAGGAGGAGGAGGAGAAGGAGGAGGAGGAGGAGGAAGAGGAGGAGGAAGAATAATAATAATAATAAGAATAAGAATAATAATAAGAAGAAGAAGAAGAAGAAGGAGGAGGAGGAGGAGGAGGAGGAGGAGGAGGAGGAGGGGGCCTCTGCCGGCCTCGGCTCTGGTCGCTTCCACCGCCGCGGGCCCTGCGGGCACAGAGCTCGGGCGCCCAGGCAGGGCCCCGCGCCTCGGAGAAAGGGCGGCCGCCCTCGCGCTCGCCTCCTACCTTTGAAAGTCGGGCCTGTCCCTTTACAGGAGGAACGTTCGAAGATTGGAAAAAAGAGTCGGGGGATAAGTTGTTTATATATGTATATAAGGGTTTACAATGTTTGAGCATTTGTTTCTGACCATCTGTAAGTTTTCCCCCGAAATCCGCCTGTAGGAGGACATGCCCGACCTGATCCTGCCTGCCGCGCCGCTCTTCTCGTCCCCGTGCTGCCGCGCCGGCCCCGCTTCTCAGGGGAGGGCGAGCCGAGGCACCGGTACCGGCTGCGCGTAGGAAGGGCCCTTCGCCGAAGTGTGACCTTTTGGTGCGGGCCCATAGGGGTCCCGCCAGCACTGGCTGGCGCGCTGGGACTGCGTTGATTTGGCCCCCCCCCCCGCGGCCCCACTAAACCAAAGGTCATTTTTGCCTGATAGGTTCACTCCTGTGCGCAGCCGACGGTAGTTGACCTGCGGAGGGGGGTCCTCGTCGCTATGGCTTGACGCAGCTCGGAAGGCTGGTGCGCTTGGACCCAGGGAGGGGTCGGGGATAGATTTAGAGCTGCCGTTGTGTTAACTCGCCCTGCTGCGAGCTGCAGAGCTGCAGAGCCGCAGCGTTCTTTATTCCCGTACTCCTCGTGCTCCTCTTGCTGACGCTGTTACTGCTCCTCCCGTCGCCCTTGGGCGCTCCAGATAGGACCTTGCCTTCGCGGGATCGATTGGTTGACGTCTCTTCCTCGGCGGAAGGACAGCGGAAGGCGGAGGAGGTAAAACGAGGGCGGCTCCGCTGGCGGATGGCCAGTGGAAGGCAGCCGGAAGTAAAAAAATCGATGTTCCTAAATATACTGTTTCAGATCCTGGGCTTCTGGCTAGCACCATGAGCTCGAGCTCCGCAAGACTTACACGACCACACCAGAATTTCTCTGGTCATGGGACGGCCCCAATTGATCCGCGTACCCCGTCGTCTTTCGCAGCCGCGGTGTTCAGTATGATCATGCTGTCTTTTTCATTGGCCGTTTCCTTGAGTGCAGAGGAAGACGCCGACCAATGGTCTGTTATTTCCCGTGCCGTAGGTCCTGTCTGCGTGGGTCTAAGGTGCTCGATGGACATCGTCACTGGGTCGCGCGTGGCCTGCTCGGTTCGATTCCGATCATGGGGTCTCGGTGACATGCGGCTGCCGCCCCGCGTCGTCGCCCCTCCCCCGTCCTTTTTACCGCCCCCCTTCCTCCTCCTCGCCCCCTTCCTCCCGTTTTCCTCCTCCTCCTCCTCGCCCTCCTTATTCTCCTCCTTCTCATCCTCCCTCTCCTCCTCATTCTCCCCCTCATTCTCCCCCTCCTCCTCCTCCTCCTCGTCCTCCTCCTCATGTTCTTCCTCCCTTTTTTGTTGTCTCTTCCTCCCCCTCCTCTTCCTTAGCATTACTCAGTTCCGTAAGTTCATCGCCCCCACCATCGGCACATTTATATTTGCCTCCTCGCCATTCGATAAGTTTGTAGGGCGGAAGCTGTAGATCGAGGTTGGATGAAGGAGGGCAAACGTACAGCTGAGGGCCGGGGCACAAACGGCATGAATGAGGGCGATCAGGGCGACGGGCCCCTTCCCTACTCATCCCGCCTCGTCTCTCTCTCTCTCTCTCTCGTATCCCCCCTTTACTCCACCTTCCCTCGACGTTACACCTTCTGTTCTTCCTCCGTATCGTCATCATCGTCATACACATCTGCAGCATGAACATCATCATCGTCCTCATCGTCATCGTACAGGCATCACCAGCACTATCAGCATTCCCCCTCCTCCACCACCTCCTCTTCCAGAGGATACGCTGCACATCCCCACGGTCCCCTTCGACCCGATTAGATTCCGCAATTCCCGCGGTCCGAGGCGGCCATATGTTCGTATGTTGTTGTTGTGCATCCCGGCCCCGCCGTTTCGATCCGATTCCGACGGCGTACGCGCATTTTGATTCGATCCGATTTGCCGATTCGCCGATGATTGATCCTGTCCTCCTCTTCCGTTCCCTCCCCCCCTCCCCCCCTTCCCTCGGGCGTTGGATCCCTCCCTCCCATCCTTCCGTCCCCCCCCCTCTCCCCCCTCCCTCCCATCCTTCCCTAGGAAAAAATCCTGGGAAAAAATCCATCCCATCATTCCGCTCCCAACCTCGAGCACGTCCACCGCGCCCCCCGGGGCCGCCCGAGAGGTGCCGTGAGGGGTTCCGCGCTGACCTTTGTCCTCGGCGAGGCGGCCGGCACTGCCCCCGGGGGGCGAGGAGAAGCAGGGAGGGTGGGCTGAGTGAGGAGGAGGAGGAGGAGAGAGGAGGAGAGGAGGAGGAGGAGGAGGAGGAGGAGGAGGAGGAGGAGGAGGAGGAGGAGGAGGAGGAGGAGGAGGAGGAGGAGGAGGCGGAGGCGGAGGGCGAGGCGGCCGCACTTCCCCCAGGGGGCGCGGAGAAGCGAGGAGGGCGACCCTCTCGCGCCGTGGCAACAAAAAAAACACGACGGGAGAGGTGCGTGGCCACGTTCGGCCTCCCTCCTCCTCCTCCTCCTCCTCCTCCTCCTCCTCTCCTCCTCCTCCTCCTCTCCTCCTCCTCCTCCTCCTCCTCCTCCTCCGTGAGGCCCCGGGGCTGTCAAACGCGACTCGGTATGAACATCCGTCCCTGGGGAACGGGCCGAGACCCTTGGGGGCCCACGTTGTGGACACATCATGACGTCGGGTGTCCGGGGAAAAGGGCGAGAAGGAGAAGAGGCCGAGGAGAGGGGGCTGAATGACAGATAAACAAGGGGGGTCGTTTTTCGTCTGTCTCCTCCTCCTCTGCCTTCTCCCGCTCTCCCTCCCTCTCCTTTCCCTCTCCTGGTTCCCTCCTCCTGCCGCAGCAGCAGTAACAGCGGCATCACAGCATGCTATTGTATACCTGACAGGCTCGTCGGTCAAACTTCGGAGTGGGGCCACCCTTCCATGCTGGGAGGCAAGGGCGGGCGTCCGCTGCGGGGTAAGAGGAACGACGTGGACCCCCACCCCCTCGCCCGATTACCCCCGGGGAACTATCCTCACCACTCGTTGCTTGCATGCGTGCACGGCAGCGCTGTTCGACTGCGGAGGCGGGAGGGAGGGTGGGTGTGGATGGAGCGGGGATGGGTGTTGGTGGGAGGCGTTTTGGAAGAATCTCAACGCCGTTCTTGGGATGAGCGGGTAGGCAAATGAAGCCTGCATGGAGGATCGGCCGAGCGTGCCAGCTGTGGTTCGGATGTCCTGCCTGCCGCACGGTTTCGTGCTCGTGCGGAGCAGCTCCATGGCCGGAGCCTGGAGTGATGCGGGACTGTCCTCATTACACCGGTGGGTGGATATGTTGGGGCACTTGTCCTCTGCTTCTTGTCGCCTGCCGCAAGACATCGGAACCAATTTGATACGATCGTTGTTAGGTTACACCGTCGGCAGCTCAGTACCAGCATCCGTAGCAGTATCCTCTCTCCCCCTCACTCGGGGAAGGCGGACGAGGAGGAAAAGCTGCGGGTCAGAGCGCGCTCCGGGAGAGATTCAGGGAGCAGCGGTTTCAGTATCGTTTTGCGTCCCCAGGGGTGGAGTGTCGTCGTCGTCTTTTTGTTCGTACTCCCTCCTCCCTGCTCCCTCCGTCTCGTATGGCTCCTCCTCCCTCCTCCCTGCCCCCTCCTCTTCCCTCCTCCTCCTCCCCATGCTCCTGTTTGATATTTCTGCCCCGTTTCTTTTGCTTGGTCGCCAATTGCTCTCGGAGCCCTTCGCAAATGAGGTTTCAAAACGGATTTGTGAATGCCATCCATTGACTACAAGTTCGACAAGGAAGATTGTGAAGGCCTTACGGCCAGTGCCGCCGACACAGAAGGACGACGACGACAACGGCGACCACGAAGATAACGACAACAGCAACGACGACAACGGCGACGACGACGACGACGACGACAGCGACGGCGATGACAACGACAACAACGACCTGGGGCTGGGGGCCGGTTCAACAGCACATCGAGAAGATGATCGATCATTTCGTCCCTCAATGGAAGGATCCAGGAGTCATCATGGGCCTTGCTGCGTTCCTGGAGGACCAGTGAAAAAAAACGCAGCAGTGAAGTGGTGGCACAGACTCCGATTCATGGGTCAGTCTGCTGGTCCTACCGACATCAATGTCAGGTTCAGCGGCGCATCATTCTTGACAGTCCTTTCATAGATTGTTAAGTTTCATCCTTTGCCCGCTGGGCTCCAGAGCATTGCATGCCCTGCAGAAAGGTATACGACTACCGCCTTCCAGAGTCAAGTTGGCCAATGCATGTTGATGTGGTGTGTGGTTTCCAACGGCTGCGATGCGTTCAATGGGGACGATGGCTTGAGCTTCGTTGTGGCGCATGGCAGCATGTACCATCCCGCTCTGGATCGACGCGTTCTTTTGTCTAGAGGCAGCAGCTACCGAACGGGTTGGGACTGGCAAGGCTCGCGGCAACCCAATGGTCACCACCCTTCTGGAATCAAGTTCCCACTATCGTTCAGACGTGCGAGGAGATGATCCGTAACTCGCCCTCTCATGTTCCCGTTCGTGACGTGGAAGGTGTTCCTCGGAGTTCGTTGCAAGCGGTGCGGGAGGCCGAAGCTGATGGAATGTGGGGACATAACCAAAGGATGTACGCCGATACATTTTCAGAACCGCTAGCTTCCCAACAAACCATGCTGCGCATCCGGCACGGTGATGAAGCAGCCCCCCCTGCAGTTGGCGGCGGCGAGGCGACTGACCGAGGCAAGGTCAGTGGCGTTCCTACTCCTCCTCCTCCTTCCTCCTCCGCCTTCCCTTCTTTTCCCTTCCCCCCCTCCCCCCCCACGTGCGCCGCTGCGCGCGCGAGAACGCGCGCGAAGGGGGGGGGAGGAGGTGCAGGAGGGAAGTGGTGGAGGAAGGGGAGCAGGGAGGGAGGGAGGAGGGAGGACGGGGGGAGGGGAAAGGAGGAAGGCGGAGGAGGAATGAGGAGCAGGAGGAGCAGGAGGAGGAGGAGGAGGAGGAGGAGGAGGAGGACAACGAGGCGGGAAAGGAGGACGACGAGGACGAGGAAGAGGCAGGGAAGAGACGCGAGGACTGAGGGGGGGCGGAGGAGGAGCGCGGCTGGCGGCCGCCGAGGCGGTGGGCCGCGGCAGCTTCGGCCAGGTCTTCAAGGCGCTAGAGCAGAAGACGGGGCGGATCATCGCCGTGAAGCAGGCGCCCGGCGCCCGGGAGCGCCTTCTGCGCCTCCACCCCGACCTCGTCCTTCCTCCTCGTTCCTCGTCCTCCGCCCTCCGCCCCGTTTTCGTCCTCCTCGCCTCCGCCCCGTCCTCGCCCTCGCCCTCGTCCTCGCCCTCCGCCCCGTCCTCGCCATCCTCCGACCCCCTTCAAGCTGCGCCTCGCGACCGTTCTCATGGCCGCACAGCTCGATTCGCCGTGTCGGCTGATGTGTGAGATGCGCGTGGCCTGTGGGAGGGCGTGTTTCGCTGCACGGACCGGAGCAAGGCGCCCTGGAGCGCCGGCCGGCATTGGTCGAGAGCTCGGTACCCTCGGAGGCCTTCGAAGGCCCGCGGAGGCCTGCAGAGGCTTTCGGAGACCTCCCACGGCCCTCGGAGATTCTCATCGGACCTCGGAGGCCTTCGGCGGACCTCAGCGGCCATCGGCGGCAAGCCTCGACGGCTCAAAGGATTCTGCGCACGCTCAGGGCGTGCTGGGTCGCAATTCCCAGCCCGACCATTCCCACCGATCTCCCCAACCCAGCTCGCGCGCGGCCCATGCGCGTCGGCGAACAGGAGTGCCTGGTGGGGAACAACAGTTCCCAAGTCGGTGAGGTGAGCGCTGGACTACGGCACGATCGTCCTGGACCTGGAGATCAAACTCAGCATGCCCATGACGGCCTCCAGGGAGCAAGTGCACTGGGGAGGCAAACGGGCCCTAAGACGGGCTGCTCGGTCTCTGCTAAGAGACGGACAGGTGTGGTAGCATGGCAGGATATCTACTCGGGCCAACGCCGCAGCTCTCCTCTCAAACCATAGACGCCGAGTGGCTCATGGAGTTGCTAGACCCTCCCCTGCCAGTACCTCCTCGAGGGCGCCACCAAAATGCCCACCCGAGTACTATCCTGATGCGACCACCCGCGCCACGAAGTATCCCACCCGTTCACTAGACGCATTCATCGCCACAAGCAGCTGATGACCTTTTGGACATACAACTGCGAGAGTCTACTTCGAGCAGACCGTCTCGGAGACATACTTCGACAAGCTACCAAAGCGAAGGGCTCGGTGGTGCGCCTACAGAGCACATTCCTCGAATTTGGCCTCCCCTGGACTACGGAGGGATACAGGGTTATCCCTGCACCCCGCACGACCCGCACCAGTCGAGACGGGTGCCTGATCGCCTTCAGTCTCCGCCGCCACTTCCTGTTATCCGAGCTGCGAGTATCACATACTTGGTTGGAGGGAAGGCTGCAGGGTATCCGCCTCACTAGGAAAAGGCCCCAGAGGACGACGACATCTACACCTTGAACGGATATGCCCCCCTGAACGAGGTGAGCCACGCGAGAATGGGAGTGGACCATTACGAAAGAATTGCTGCACATCGAGACTTCCAGAGCAAGTATTGGAACCAACGCAGAGCTGCACCTCAACAGATCCCACGTCGTGCTGCCCTGAGAGCCGCGATGGATACCAATGCCGCCATGTCCTCTCAATTACCACATGCTGGCTTTGCTGGACAGAGACGATCCCGCGCGGCTACCAGCGGCAATGGCGCCCGCCCACTGGACCTGCTGCAGACGTTCAATCTGGTGGCGCCCAACACGTTTGGCAGGGGGACAAACATAATGGAGCGTGGAAGCATACAACTGGACGAGGATGGACGACCATGGACTATCTATTTACTACGCTGTATGGATCGCATGGCAAGTGCGCGGCCCCGTTCAAGCAGCTCCTCGTTAGCATAGGAGGTTATCGATACCACCGACCCGTCGCAGCACATATTTTTGTTGGATTACGGACCCGCAGAATACCCGAGGATAAACCAGTACGGTGGGATCTCGATGCCCTGATGTGCGGCTGGAAGCCCCTGAGAGACGCAGACGCTGAGGTTCCCCAACGATGTATTGATATGCGGGTACACTGTCGGCTTCACCCAACCAGCGTCACATCACGGGTCAGTGGCAGGGGGAGTGTGGGACCAACCAGAGATATGCTACACCCTCGGACAACTTCAATGCCGTGGAGCACACGCTGATTGAGGCGGCGGCTCCTTTTTACATCCCCCAGCCAAAGAAGAGAACGCGCCCCGAGCTGACCGACGAAGCCCTTGCCTTGATCGAGAAGAAACACCGAGTCCAACGACGCATGGCGGGAGTGCTGGACCAGGACTCCGACGGCTACGCCCTCCTCCAGGCAGGCTTCGGCGACGCAGCCAGAGCAGCAGCCAGGGCAGTACGTGCTGAACGACGCCAGCGGCTCGCGGACACGGCTAAGGAGGCGGAGGCAGCGGATGCGGTTTGGAACTCACGTAAACTCTACAGTAGTACTCGCCGCCTAACCCCGAAGCCAGCTGCACCAGTGGCGGCGGTCTGTAACCCCTCCTCTGGGAACATGTGCGTGGCCGCAGAATAGAAGAAGCCGAAGTCCGAGTCAGCGCCCTGCGTAGCATGTTCGAGGGCTCGGCGATCGACGTGTCTACCCTTGGGCGACCGCCTGGCTCGCGACCTCGGGGCGACTCGCGCAGTGGCCCATGCAGCGCTGATGATGTCATGAGAGCCATTCTCAAGATGCCCAACTATAAAGGCGCACCAGTCCTGAAGATAACCGACTCAGAGGACCTCGACACCATGACCAGACCACACGATGGATCGGTCATAGAATTGTGGAAGCTACTGGTGTCAGAGACAGCCCCCGTTCTCCATGGAGCATTCCAGGCATGCTGGGCTCTTCGACACTCAGCTCAGCGGTTTAAAGAAGGAGAAGCAGCGTCGCCTCGCAAGCCCAAGGGCGATGGCAGAAGCGCGAAGGTACACTGCCAACCATCAATATGATCAACCACATTGGTAATGTCTATATGAATGTAACGGTGATGCCAGAGCTTGGCGGCCTAGCCCACCCCCCGTCTTTCCTACTCGCAGTTTGGGGTAATGACTGGCAAATCAACCCGTGGCGCTCTCGCAGTTGCGGCAGAGGCCACGCGACGTGACTGCCTCCATGGACGAACCCCCCACCTGGGCAAAAGTACGATGCCGGGGATGCTGGTGGCCGTCCTGATCGACCTCGAGAAGGCTTTCGACCTGATCGGCAGAGACGAGATATGGATTGCCCAGGAGAGGCTGGCTTTGAAGCGACACGTTCGTCTTGCGGCCGAAGAACTCCATGAAGGCACGCGCTACATCACCAGGGAAATTCTGACCGGCCAGCCCACCGAGAAGCTGCTGATCCCCAGAGGAGTACGACATGGAAGTGTGGAGAGCCCTCTCCTGTTCGTGGCCGCGTACGACCTCCTCGCCTCCAGCCTGGAGCAGAGCCGCGCCGTCTCCGAATTCACCGTGGTCTATGTGACGTTCGATCCGAAATTGGACAAGCTTCGCCACCTCCATCTCCTCCCCGGGACTGAGGGCGAGGAATGTCTGCCAGCATTCCCTATAAAGTTTGTTGGCGACTTCATTGTATTCACCTCGTCGAGGATTTCGAATCGGCATCTAGGTTCTTCTCCTTCCTGAAGCCAGAGAATGAACGGGAAGATGAAAGTGAATGGCGCGAAAACTGAAATGCTCATTGCCACGGCCGGCAGTAAAAGCAGAGCTCGCAAATCCACGATCCGTTTCAAACAAACAAACATTACCATGGACGGGGCCCCGATCGACGCCGCCTCGAGTGCGAAATATTTGGAGGCAAAGCAACGCGACGACAGCACGATGGTCGAGGAAGTCACCCACGGGATCCAAGGAGGATGTGCCGCTCATGCCCGCCTCGCCCGATGCGCATTCAAGGGGCAGTTCAGTGTTTAAGGTTGAGTTTGGCTGTGGTGCTCACTGGTCCGCTCGTCAGCGCCCTACGGATTGAAAGTTGCGGTGCTTGCCGAGCGCGATGCGACTCGCTCCGAGAACTGGCAGACGAGTAAGCTGAGATCCCTTGCCAGATCGCCCCCGCACGTGCATCATGAGAGCAGCGCAGCAGCCCGCCAACGGACGGGTGAACCTACCGTAGCCTCTACTTCCTTGGGGCGCCGTCTTGCTTGGTGGCAAGGTGCCCCGCGCCCCGCCTTCCCCGACCTCCAGAAGCACCCTCGGGGGGGCCTGGCCCAGAAGGACCCCGACGAGCCCCCAGTGGACCCGAAGCACGACCCCACGGAGATGGCGCGAGCACTAGTCTTTGGCAGGTTCAACTTCGAGGGCCCCGAACACAAATAGGTAAACTCACTCATTGGGCGTACTTCAATATGTTCTCGGACACCTTTGGAGGACCCTCCCCCCTGAGGCCCAACAAGAAGCCAGTGTTGCTCACGACCTCCATGACTCCCCATCCGTGCCTTATTCGCCCCTGGCTTCGGTGGTTGCGCTGCGTTCCCAGAGCCAGAATCAAGAATGCGAGGAGAACGGCCGCGGATGACGAGGAGATAGCAGCTGTGGGATCCCCCCCCCCCCCCTCCCCCCCTCCGCACCACCACCACCCGACGCATTACTACCTTGCCCGACATGCTCGCGTATGTGACATGGCCCCAGGGGCCTAGCAAACCACATGTTTTTGCCCCCATAAGATGTGCGCGAATCCCACCGACCTCACAGATGAACAGCTACGCTCGTTGGCGTGCCCGAGGTGTGGGAACGGATTTAGCCGAAAGGGCGCCCTCGTCAGGCGTGTACTCAATGGAAGATGTCGCGCGCCTTCGTCGCCCTCGTTCCAAGCATCTGCGAGCCAAGCACCCGACCGGCCTGCCTCAGATCCCCTTGCCCCCCCGCCTCGCCGCGTTCGCACCGGCAGCGGAAACCAAGGGAGTGAAACGCCAGAGCGAGACCGAGGGAGCGGGCCAGACGGACACTGCGAACATCGACGAGATCAAGACCAATGGCCGCCTCCAAAACCTGATGCGTCGCCTCCTGCTCCAACGCGAGGCAGCCCGCCGAGCGGGCGCGACGGGCGACGACTTCACCCTCGCCCCCAAGGTCGACATGAAGTTCGAGATGGCACTGGAGGAAGGCCTCCAGAACTGCATCG